GAGCAGTTGGAGTCTAGGCAACTACAAAAGCCTTTACAGTGGGAAATGCAGGGAAACAAATTCACACATCCATTCAATACCTTGAAACTAGGAAGCTGCCACATGGTTCTGGGGGTAGATTGGCTAGCCAGATATAGCCCTATTGAGTTTGACTTCAGGCAACTCTCCATGAGGTTCCTTCAAGAGGGTCAACCAGTGGAGCTAAAGGGGGAAGTCAGTGAGCTTAAACTCAAGGCCATCAAAGGAAGTAAGCTAGCAAAATGGAGGAGAAAACAGGCATATGGGATAACTGCCCAGCTGTATGTGATGGAAGAAGAAAAAGGAGACACTGAGTTAGTACCAGCAGAGATGGAGGAATTGCTGGACAAGTTTGAAGGAGTGTTTGCTGAGCCCCAAGGCATGCCCCCAAGGAGGAGCCACGACCACAGCATTCCTTTGAAGGAAGGAGCTTCCCCATTCCAAGTCAGACCATATAGGTGCCCCTACGTGCAAAAATCAGAAATAGAGAGGTTGGTGAAGAAAATGCTGCAGATGGGAATCATTCAGCCTAGTAATAGCCATTTTGCATCTCTAGTACTACTAGTCAAAAAGAAGGATGGCAGTTGGAGGTTTTGTGTGGATTACAGGCAACTCAATGAACTCACTTTGAAAGACAAATTTCCTATGCCACTAATAGATGAACTCCTTGATGAATTACAGGGCTCAAAATACTTCACCAAGATTGACTTAAGGGCAGGATACCATCAAATCAGGGTCAAAATGGAAGATGTGCATAAGACAGCTTTCAGAACACACCAAGGCCTTTATGAGTTTAAGGTTATGCCTTTTGGCTTGACAAATGCCCCAGCAACATTCCAGAGCCTCATGAATCACATTTTCAGGGATCTGTTGAGGAGGTACGTCCTGGTTTTCTTTGATGACATACTAATTTATAGTCCTTCTCTGGAGAAGCACCTGCAGCAGGTAGCAGAGGTGTTGAACATATTGCAGGAACACCAGCTGTATGCCAAGAGGAGTAAATGCTCCTTCGTACAAACAGAAGTAGAATACCTTGGCCACATTATCTCAGGAGAAGGAGTAAGGGCAGATCCAAAGAAGATAGACAGTATGATGAAATGGCCAAAACCAACTTCTGTTAAGGAACTCAAGGGATTTCTTGGGTTAACAGGGTATTATAGAAAATTTGTCAAAGGATATGGAGCTATTGCAAAGCCCCTTACCATATTGCTTAAAAAAGATGGATTCCATTGGAACACTGAAGCAGAGGAGGCTTTCCAGAAGCTTAAACTAGCAATGTGCAGCACCCCTGTGCTAGCCTTGCCTGATTTCACCAAGCCATTTGAAGTAGAAACTGATGCTTGCTATGGAGGGATTGGAGCAGTACTGATGCAAAATAAGAGGCCAATAGCATTCATGAGCCAAAGCCTGGGTCCCAAGAACCTGGGAATGTCCATTTATGAAAAAGAATTGTTAGCCTTGGTCACTGCTGTTACTAAGTGGAGGCACTACTTGGAAGGGAGTCACTTCATTATTAAGACTGATCATCAGAGTCTTAAGTACCTCCTAGACCAAAGGGTCACGATAACACTTCAGCAGAAATGGCTCACCAAGCTGCTAGGACTTAGCTATGAGATTCAATACAGAAAAGGAAAAGAAAATGTAGCAGCAGATGCTCTATCCAGGAGGGCAAGCAGAGAAGAAGGAGATTGTACTGAGCTGACATGTGTCATCCCAGAATGGATGAAGGAGGTTATAGGAAGCTATCAGGGAGATGAAGAAGTGCAGAACTTAGTCAGACAGCTATTGGTCACCCCTGGCAATCCATCAGAATACTCTTATCAGGATGGAGTGCTCAGGTACAAAGGCAGGATAGTAGTTGGTTCAAAGGGAGATGTAAGGAAGAAAATCATTGCTGCAATACATGGTTCGCAGCTTGGGGGACATTCTGGAATACAGGCTAGCTATTTAAGAGCCAAGCAGCTGTTCCATTGGACAGGGATGCACAGGGATATCAAGAATACCATACTACAGTGTGACACATGCAAGAAATGTAAAGGGGAGCACGTTGCTTATCCTGGACTCCTGCAACCTCTTCCTATACCACAGTACTCATGGAGTCATGTCACTATGGATTTCATTGAAGGACTGCCAATATCAGAAAAGAAGGACACTATTATGGTGGTGGTGGACAGACTCACTAAATCAGCCCATTTCATCAGCCTCTCACATCCTTTTGATGCTCCCACCATAGCCAGACTCTTTTTAGACCACATCTGCAAGCTGCATGGAATTCCTTTAAGTATGCTATCTGACAGAGACAAAGTGTTCACTAGTCAATTCTGGACTGAGCTCTTCACTCTGCTAGGTACAGACTTGAAGTTAAGCACTGCCTACCACCCCCAAACGGATGGCCAATCTGAAAGGGTAAATCAAGCACTGGAAATGTATCTAAGGTGTATGACACATTTAGAGCCAAAGAGATGGAATGCATGGCTTTCTCTTGCTGAGTGGTGGTATAACACTACCTACCACACAGCCATCCAGATGAGTCCATTCGAAGCCTTGTATGGAATGGCTCCTCCTCAGTTGGCAATAGGACCCTACCTTCCTCTTAGAGTAGCAGCAGTGGAGGATCATCTGAAGGATCGACAAAGGATGGATGGGATTCTCAAGTCCAACTTGCAGGAAGCCCAAAACAGAATGAAGTTCTATGCTGACAAAAATAGGAGTGAAAGATCATTCCAGATAGGAGATTGGGTCTACTTAAGGTTACAGCCATATAGACAAATGTCCGTAGAGCTGAAGAGCAACACCAAGCTATCTGCTAGATATTTTGGCCCTTATCAGGTGATTCAGAAAATAGGAGAGGTAGCATATAAACTCAAGCTACCTGAAGGATCCAAGATTCACCCTGTGTTCCATGTTTCCTTGCTAAAGAAAAAGGTAGGGAAAGATACAACTCCAATACTCCAATTACCAAATTTAGATGAGAAGGGACATCTGAGGGTGGCACCAACAGCCATCCTGGATCGAAGGAGCATCAAGAGGAGAAATGCAGCAACAGTGCAGTGGCTCATCCACTGGTGGGGAACCACTCCTGCTGAGGCTACCTGGGAGGATGCGGAGAAGATAAGAAGAGAATTCCCTGAATCCCAATCTTGAGGACAAGATTGATTGAAGGAGGGGCAATTGTCATGGAGCAGAAGTTAGCTAAGAGAAACTAAAAGCATGAAGTAAGGGACGCGCCTTCAAGCAAGAAGCTGCAAACAAACGGCAAAGCGTGGAATGCGGGCATCACGCCTTTATGAAGTAAAGAAGACGGGGGAAATAAAGAAGACTGCGGATAGAAGCGTGGGATCAAAACCACGCCTTTTCTGGGAAACAAGCTCAAGCAGCGTGAGCTTCTGAGAAAGTGGCTCTACAACAGAATTCTGTTAACTATCACATGGCCAAGCTGGAGTAGGATGCGACAAAGGAGCTAATTGTTGGCCAACTCTATATAACGATAGAATCAGTAGCAGTAGGATAGGATTTTGTTAGCTATTTGTAAGGGATCATTCCCAGAACCTTTCTCTTCTGTTTTTCCTTCATTCTATCATTTCCTTTCCTTTTCCCGTCCATTCTGTAATCTACTTATTTGAATCAATATCAATATTAACATCAATTCATTTGATTGTTCATCAGTTGGTTATTGATTCTCCTGTTAATTATTCTTGATCTGTGCTAGTTTCATAAGCCAGTTCATTGGGAGCTGGTCTGTTGCCTGGCTACTGTTCGATACCATTACAACCGTCTACCTAAGCCTGTGAAAGGTACAAACTTGGGCTTCTACATGTTTTCCTGCAACTTGTAGATGCAGCTGGTTTTGTCTCCGCCCAAACAATTAATGGGTGTCAATGATTTTACTTCTTATTCTGGAGGATGGATTTATGATTTATCTGCTTGGTCATATTTACGTCTAATTATCAAAAGAAAAAAAAAGATACGAAACCTAAATTCTCAAGTCTGGACCTTGGATTGATTATATAATCATAAACATGATTAGGAGTCAAGGTTTAGTTATAAGAAAATTAGGGAGTATATATAGTGGAGGTGTCCTATCACTAATCCTATTCTTGAAAAAATATTGAGACAAAAATATATATACCACATAGTGGTGTTTCACCCCTTTAATATTTTATTTATTTTTAATGTTAACTCTTATCTTTAGACAAAAAATTTTTTTTTGACACGAGTTACTATTACCAAGTCGGACAAGTCCAGTGGCCTAATTGCATGATGAAGTTCTTGAGCAGGGATCTTGCATGCTGAGAATGCATCAACTACGTTTTTTTTTTCTGTTTCCAATTTTTTTGATTTCTTTTACCAAAAGATTTCAAAATTTTGTCCTCGAGCAAACATGCATTTTTTTTTTAATTTCTCTTGGAGTATATTATTCCCATTGTTCATTGAAAAATTTGGACGTCCAAATAATAGTATATAAATTATTAGGCAAAATTCATATTATGTAGCCTCTAGTAGTCCGGTCTTGTATTAATCTCTTACCTAAGTGTCTCTTTAACCCTTTTAATTACCAAAAATAAGCCTAATAATTCTACCTTAATTATAAGCAAAAGAAGTCACTATTTTGAAGTATTATTGTTCCCGGAGGCAGCGTAAATCCCTCTTGCCTAGCACACCCTTTTTCAAGCAAGGAAAAAAGAAAAGTGCTTTCGCCTAGTTATGGCTTTCTATTTTGATTTTATATGTGCAAACAAAAAGGATTTTAAGAAATTTATTTGCATCCAAAAGCAGGTTATGTTGCTTGGTTGTGTGTATATGTATGTATCTGTTTTGGAGCATATACAAGTTCAGGTCTGATATACTTTGGGGGCAGCACATGAACAAGGATAGAATTTCTTGCTCTTTACAATTTTCTGTCTTGGAATCTGTTTTTTCCCTCATATGGCTTGAATACCACAGATGAAAGTTGAAGAAGGATTGAAAGGCCAAACACCATCCAATTAACCAAGTGATTTTTTTCATTAAACTTCTGAATACCCCACAAGAAATTTGTTTATAGAGAGCAAAAGCCAAATACATCCAGCCAAATGATTTTATTTCGACTGTTGTCTACCAATTATTTTTCAGTGCTGTTGATGACAAATACATATAAGATTATTGTTACATCAACTCTGGATTTACAAAGCATTAGACCTTGCCGTTGCAGTACTTTGAGCAGCTCTTTTCACATTCTTCCTTCTTGGCTGCATCTGTCAAGAAAATATGCTCAATCAGTTGACCAATCAATAGGCAAGAAAATGCAAAAGAACAGTGTTTGGAAAAAGTAAATAGCTGCCATTTTTAGATCTGTAATCTTTAAAATGGTGCATGTCAACTTCTCGTAATATATAGTTTTCACATAGAAATTGACTGCAACTAAAACAAAGATAACAAATACATGAAGGATATATAACAAACCGTTTCTGAATTGGCTGCAACGGGCCATTGAACACCCCATGCTACAATACTGCATGGGATGAGCAGTCAGGAAACCAAGACATTGGTGATGGCAGTTCAGGAAACATTTGTGATTAATGTCCTTCTTTAGAAAGCAATCGTCGGAGCATTTCTTGTAGCATAGATAAATGTGGCTCTTCTGATGAAAAGGATCAGGAATGGGTGCCATTTGTTCGTCTGAGTTCACTGTTATCAGCATAGCCATTAGGACTAGAGTAGCAACGGTGATAATACCCTTTGCTCCCATTTTCATAAACTCTTAACACTTTTCTACTTTTGCTATAGGTTAAAACTCTGTGTAAATCTTGAGCGAGGGAGCTGTGGTTTATATCAAGAGAAAAATGGAGGTCATTTAATAGCTGTAACATACAGCTATCGGATCAATAGTAAGTGAAGAGGCAATCGGCTGCTTACTCCAAAGATAAATGAAGAGGCAACTGTCTTCGCCAAGTATAAATATGAAGGTAGCTAGGAAGGCTGATAATACTTGCAAAAAAGTGAGGAGAAAAGGAAAAGAAGGTGGCTAATAAGTATTGACTATTGTTGAGAAAATTTACCGTTTTCTGCATCTTTTAGACGGTACTAAATGTGAAGCAATCGGTAATTGTCTTTTTCCTTGAATTCAATGCACTTTCACAGGGTAAGCTCAATTGTCCACCGATTACAGAGTCAAAGAAGAACTGCATGACTGTGATAGTCCTATTTGACTACTCAAGGCAGACTCAAGTAATTACTCAGTTAGGTTCACCCCGGTCCCAAGACTCGAGTATTTAAAAAAATCCAGAAAGTGCTGTAAAATACTTGTTATATCTACGGAGTGAAAGATCAAAGAGTGCAGTAGAACACTTTTATGGTTGGAAGTTCATTTTCAACTTCCATACAAGTTCCGTTAGACTCCTCTTTCCCTGCAGTATAGGAGTAGCGTAGATTATTGTCGTTATAAAAAAAGAAAAAAATTACTCATTAGTACTTGTTATATCTACAATTTAGTGTACAATTTCGCATGGCGCGACTAGGATAAAATGACCTAAACGACCAATAAAAATCGGCCACTCCGCTATTTCCAAATATGCCTGGTCAAATTATCACTAGATAAAATATTTAACAATTAATTTTATATACATTGTTATTGTATACATTATCAGTTTATCACCATTAGATATATGTCCTATGTGCAAAATTTAAATTTGAAATCCATAATTTGCTTATGTGTCATCCATCAAATCGTGATAGTGTATATAAAATTTACTCAATCTTTAAACTAAAATATTTAAGGTCCAACTTATTATGAGTGCTAAAATCTGAAGCATCAAAAGTGAAAACGGAAAGATTAAAAACTTGAAACAATTGCATTTTCTTTAAGAGTACAAAGGATATCTACAAACCTGTAGTCATAAAACATCTGTGCTTAACTGGCTTATAAGAAAATCAAGCACTAGAGCATTTCTCACATTAATGATAAATTTGACACTTGTGGTTATAGCAAGAAAATCATAAGAACAGCTGCATTTACTAATATTCGTTTGCAACAAGTATTGATCAACGATCATTTTCTGTTTATTTAGTATCCAACAAGAAAGATAAAGGCCTAATGGGTCAATCTTTAATTTCGATGATCTTCCTCTAGATTTGAACTTATTACAATTATCTTCAAGATTTGGGATTCACCTTCTGAAAACTTCCAATTACATTTGACGTCAAAATTGCAGTTCAAGCATCCCCTTTTTCTCGCGAAATTGAAAACATTTTTTTTCCAATCTTAGTTTATGAAAAAAAGTTACACATGCATGCATCACCTTTCTTCTTCTTCTTAAGTTTTTTTCCCCCCCTCTTTAGGTGAATTTTCTTTTTAACTTTCATTGATTTAGCTCTTGACGTTGCATTAATTTGACATGCTATCCTCACTTATCTTTTTTTTTTTTTTTTTTTCCAATTGCTCTGTGCCTGCCAAGAAAATATACTCTATTAGCGAACTTGTCTATTATTACAAATTAGGCAAAATTATTCAACAAAATCAATCTTGCAGTAATTACGTTTCCATGTATAATGCCAAATTCAATTTTCGGCCTTGTTAAAGGCTGATTCGTGTCCCAACCAAACCCTCCACCCCAACCCTAACATCGAAAAAAAAGAAAAAAAACCAAATATGGCATACTAATTTAAATCACCTTTAATTTCCTTTTCCACAAGTAATTATAGTGGTAGGATCTAGGGGAAGTTTTGTGAAAAAAAAAAAGTTAAAGGGCATAACATGATTTCAACACAATCACTTGATTAATGTGGACAGAATGATAATAAGCCAACTTTAGGGGTTGATGATGAAATTACCTAAACATTTACTCTAACGTCTGCATTTACTTAATTGGTATAGAAAAACCCACGCAAAACCCCAGAAGCAGCGGAGGAGCAAATATGAAAGGGATTCCGACGATACTACGTCGTTTGGCAGCCTCTAGGCCTTCTTCCATAGCTGCTGGATTTTCTTCTTCATCGTCGCTCACCGAAACCCTAGTGCTTTCCTCCGCCGCTGCAACGTTGTCGTACTCGACATTTGTTCTCTCCGATGACAAGCGCCGCCCGCTTTTCAATTCCGTAGTTACCCCGGCTATTTCTCCTAATTTACCGTCTACCATTCCTCTTAATCATTCTCGAAGCTTCTCTTCCGATTCCTCCTCAGGTCCCTTCTCTTTCCGTCTCTATTTCTATATATACTAGTTATACAGCAGAAGTTTCTTTTTTATTATTTATTTAGTTTTTTAAAATTTTGTAGCTTTATTTTAATTAATTGGTGAAGTTTTTACCAAAAATTGGAAAAAATTGGGTACATTTGTTAGTGAAGAGTGATCTGGTTACTAGTTTTATATTATGGAAAATTACTGTTTCAAGTTTTCTGTTTAGGCTTAATTGAGGATTCTGTCTTTAGTGAATTAGTGAAATGTTGCGATTAAATTGTCTGTAATTTAACTAATTGCGATTAAATTATCTGTAATTTAACTAATTGTTTCCCTGAAATGAAGAGGTTTTTGTGTTGATTTTTTTTTTTTTTTGCTCCGGGTTTGATGAAATACTTATTGGAGGAAATAGGACATAATGTGCATAGCAAAGAAGACAATGCAGTTGTCTTGGAGGAACATTTGGAGCTATTACACATATAGTATCATCATTGGGAATGGCTACTGGTTGATAAAATGTGTTGTTCTTGGCAGAGTATGATGTAGAAGCACTCTATGTTAGCTAGTGGTAGTCAATGGCTTGCTTTGTCCTCTCTTTCCATAACTTGGCATGGGAAACTTGATGGTAACTTCTGAATTTGGATTCTTGACCTAGTGTTAGAAACGTAGATCCTTGATTGTTTTGACATTGCTGAAGGTGAGGATAGGGTACGTCACTAATCTAGGTCAGATTTATCTGAAAGCCATGAGTTAGACATTTGTGGTCTATAGGTTCTGAGTCACTTATGCGGTACTCTAGTCTGTTTAAGTTACCAAAACTGTAGTGTCCAGTTATAATTGAAGAGGTTAAGCATAAAATCTCCCAATTGGTGCTTTTAATGGTGCTAAGTTCTGAAGCTGTGGTGTCCATTTACTAATTGGGAGGGCTTATGCATCTCATTGAAGCATTTTCCAGGATGCAGGTATTAAAAATCATGTGTCGATGTGCACCCACTTTAATAATGAGGTTTTTTTTCTTTGGGTATCCTTCTGAAGGGAAAAGTGTACACTTTGGTACCGCCCAAAACAAGAGGTTCATCAAAAGATAATCATCTCCTGACCTTGTAATGTTAGATGCCTGTAAAAAACAATATTTTATATTTGCCAACAGAAACTAATACGTATGTTGTAGTTGATTCTAAGAATAAAGCCACTATTCTCTTTTTGAGCTGACATTTTTGAATGACCAGAAGCTTTGCGATGTTCAAAGTTTTATCCACTGTTCCTAAAAAATGGATTTTGAGATTGTAATTGGTTCTAAAACTTTCTTGATATAAATTTTAAAAGAAGCTTCTAATATTGAATTTTGCTGCCTCGATTGTACTCCTATTTGACCAACTTGTGCATATTCTCTTCTCACTTTTGGCAATTCATACAATTTTGTGAGATTTGTTTTGGAGCATACTGCATAATATGTTTGCTGAAGTGAGTTGGAATTGCAGGTCCATCAAAAATTGTTTCCATTGAGTCTGAAGAGCAGCTTAATGATTCACTTCGCAAGGCCCAAGGTATAAATTTATAAATTTGTTTATGGCCAGTTGGTTTTATGTACGTCATATGTAGATTGTTTATCATCTTTAATGTCTTCTGGATTATTCTTGGTTTTTAACTATTATTCTAACCTGATGCTGATATTTTAATGTTCAAATATGCTGCAGATGAATCATTACCTGCGCTATTTTACTTCACAGCAGCCTGGTGTGGACCTTGTAAGATTTATGTATTGGAAATTGTAGACATATGTAGCACTCTGGCTTTGAATGCTTTATTCTCATTTGCAGCATTAATATTTATTTCACATTTTCATAGTAGTTTGATCTGTAATTTACTTTCACCATTATCTTGTACAGGTAAGTTCATATCTCCTGTTATTGGACAGCTGAGTGAGAAATATCCTCATGTCACCACGTACAAAATTGACATTGATAAGGTAATAAAGACTGCATGGCAGAAATTTTTCTTTTAACAATGGAAGGGAAGTTTTGAAAAAATTTTTTGGGACCCTACAGGACACTCATATCATGTTTGATCAAAGTGTTTTCATATTTCACTTGAATCTCAAATAAGAAGATCTACTTGCCTTACCCTATTTTTTAATCTATTATGCATGGTCAAAGGCTCTTTATAGATTATTGGGTGTGATTCTCCTTTCATAATCTCTTCCGATATAGATTATCATCAATAGCAACTTGAAGTGCAATTTCTATGCAACAAAATAGCTTCTTTGCAACTCTTTTCTTAGTCTTTTTGTTAATTCTCTTGTTTTACACCTAGCTTACTTCCCTTGGCTTATTATATGCAGGACGCTCTTGCTGAAGCATTAATGAAATTAGGAATCCATTCTGTGGTACTACTTCTTATCAGTAACTTCTCATTTTGCTTTTTTCAAAGAAAATGGATACATAGAAAGTATAGGGAAGTTTCTTACCACATTGTGAAAAAAGTTACAAAGAAAAGATGGGCAGTTAGCTGATTTTCATTGAGGTTTAGTTTCTTAAATTTCAAGCCAAAATTTTATTCCCTGAAATGGTTTTGTATTGTGGATAGATACTTCTCTCCATTAATTCAATAGATGTCTGGGCTATTGTAAGGTTACAAGGGAGAAAACAAAAAAATGAAAAGGAGCGTAAAAAGTGAACAGTTCTAATGAGTACCATTATGCTGCAGTAGCTTCCTGAGCTTGGATTTGTATACTGCTTTTTTCTTTGTTGCCTCACGATTCCAGTTAAAATTTAATTTTCTTTAAATGGAATAAGTTCCATATATTGGGGATGTGGAAAGGATTTATACCCATTAATATGTTAAAATCCTAGTCAAGTTTTTGTTAAGAATATGTGCTTAGTTAATTAAGTTCCTTCTCAAATACCCAAGGTTTGCATCAACAGAGATTTTTTGTTTTTGTTTTTGTTTTTTCACTTCAAGAGACCAGAGCTTGGATGATGAATTGAAGTCAGTTTGTGGTCTTACTTAGCTCCCATCGGCATCAGAACGTACGAAAATGACTTCATGATCTTTTGGAGTAGTTTTAGTCTTGTACTCTTCTGACCTTATGCATATGATTTAGACGAGTGTAGGTCCTGTCCTGTCCCGTCCTCATGTAGGTTGATGGCAGTTAATCTCCTATATGCAGAGAACTAGAGATTCCTCATCTAATGATTCTTATGACAATCTGATGGCTTTACTGGCTGGTTTTGCTGTTCAATTAGAAACTGACCATATATGATTCTAAACTGATGTAATCTTGGAATTCGTGTTGGCTTGGACACAATGGCCTCATATGTTTGATATACCATATTCATGTTGGTATTTTTGCCCTCTCCTCTGGCACCAAGCATAAATTCACAATCTTTTCTCTATTTGTTCGATAATAGAGTCTTAAAGTCATGAATGAACAACACACCTAATTTATGTTACAACTAGTTTATCATGCAAACTATTCTGTATAGTTTAAACTATATCGATGTTTTCTTAGACACATGGACTCAAGAATCCCTAAGTGCAAGTTATTCTTGTATTTAATCCAATTGTGGGCAACAGTCTACGAGGAGTTTTTAAGTTGCTTTTCATCTTAACTAGTTCATTGATTGCTATTTCGATGCCAATGGCATTTGTTGCAGCCCACCATACACTTCTTTCAGAACGGGAAAAAGGCATCCGAGATGGTTGGTGCTGATGTTAAGCAGTTGAACGCGACTATGGAAGAATTGTACAAGTGAGTGTCTGCATATATGGAAGTAATCTTACCACGGAATATACAGTGGTTTTGATTAGATTTTGGTTTAGAATTTATTTTCTTCAAATTTAATACTATATGCTGTGAAACGTTAAGGGTTTTACTTTTTCGTTGAATATATCCTGTAAAGTCTGTTTGAGTTTGACATCCTTTGTCGTTAATGGATGTTGATATGAAGTGATTTTCAGGTGATGTATCCTTTCTTCAAATTGGTAATGTCTCCCAGTTCTCTCTCCAATGTTCTGCTATGCTATGCATAAATAACGATCTTCGTGCATATTGAAAAATTACTATATTACACAGAAGTACTGCAAATCCAGCATAAATTTTTGATTTCATGAATATAAGCAGAGTTACTATTTACTTTCTCTTTGATAACAATCATATGATGTTATTATTCGAAAAGGAATTGATGAAACCAACAATTTACCAGAAACAACTGAAATTACAACTTTCATACATTAATATTAGATAATGTCTCCTATTCACACAAAAATTTGTACCAATCCATATCACTAACGATTGATACATAACAAACTATTAGGCAAGCAGATATACAGCAGAAAAATTGTCTCCAACGTTATCCGTCCATCTGTCTGATATCTACCACACGCACTGCATCTTTAACAACATGTCACTGATCAGAAATTCAGACATATGGAGATAAGCTTTCCGTGTTATATGAATTGAGGATAGGCCTGGGGAGCGAGATTTGGCAGTTTCAGTTTATGCGCACAGATTCTAGCACAGGGGTTTCCTTTTTTTTTTTTTTAATTTCCTTTTTTAACTAGTTCCGTAGCCTAGTAGTTACCAGTATGTTTCGTGATTGACTTTCGTGTCCTACTTCACTGTGTATTCTAGGGGCAAGACCCTATGTAACTTTAAGGGATTAGTCTAGTCGAAAGGCTAGGATACCCTAAGTGAAAAAAAAAATCTTCTTTTCTCTCATTACTTTGCAACCTATTCCTGATATCATTTCCAAAAAATAAAACATTAGCCTAATTGCACTTAAATATATATGATTTTATCAAGAACTATAAGTATGCCATCACAGCAACACCAGAAAATCAGAAACATACTATCTAATTAGAAGCTAAACTAAACTAATGGCAGTAGCTGAAGTTTGATCTTTACTAGTGCTTCAAGAACATCTTGAATATTGCTTCTCTCTCCTGGAGACTCCCTCGTGCAATTTAGAGCCACTTTCATGATGGATGAAATGCAGTCCAGCTTCTCAAGAAAGTGATCGTCGGTTGTGCTCAGCAAATTGGCATCTATAATTTGAGCTAATGCATTTGCCATAGAATCAAGAACCCAACTCCTTAGGCTCAAATTCTCACCGAACATTTCATTGCTGGGGTTCATTCTTGTAAAAACTTCCATCATCATAATTCCAAGACTATAAACATCGCATTTGACTGATACTAATCCTTGGAATCCATACTCTACAACAAAGGCAAGTACGCTTCACCATATATTATATATTAAAAGTAAACGAGAATTTGAAATTTGAGAGATTCAAAAAATTCTGTGGGGAAAGGAAGAACAGAAATCATATGAATAAGAAACAAAGTTTCAGCATACCTGGTGCAAGATAACAAAGTGTGGCTAGTGTTTTGGTGTATGCAATGCCCTCCTCTGGAGCCAGCAGCTTTGTAAGACCAAAATCACTTACATGGGCAACCATATCTTCATCTAGCAGGACATTACTAGGTTTCAAATCACAATGCACCACTGGTGTTGAATACTCATAGTGGAGATACTGCAGTGCAGAAGCGACATCCACCAAGATGTCCAATCTCTGAATAATATCTAGAAAACAGTCATTGGAATACAACCACTTCTCAAGACTTCCATTAGGCAAAAATTCCAGAACCAATGCTTTGAAGTCAGGGTTAGAGCAGCAGCTAATGACTTTAGTGAGGTTTCTATGGCGCAGATTTCGCAATACTTCACATTCTGCATCAAAACTCTTCAATGCTCCTTCTAATTGTAAGTCAAACACTTTAACAGCCACAACCCTCCCATCATCGAGAGTACCTTTATAAACAGATCCAAAGCCTCCTTTTCCCAGAAAATTTCTTTCATGATATCCATCAGTTGCTTGTAAAAGTTTGTGATATGAAATTCTTTCTTGTGTTGCAACCAACGACAAATATGCTTCAATGGGACTTCTATCTTTCCTTTGATATCTTAGGTAAATGAATCCCAAGGACATGGCACCTAAAACTAGTATCACCCCTGATAGAACAAGAATGATTACATACTTCTTTTTTTTCCTCAAACTTTGAGGTGAAAATCTTACGCATGGTGGGACAAGGAACCTTTGAGCTCCACAAAGTGCTGCATTCGAAGTGAAGGATTCACTAGTGAAGTTTCTAAAAGGGCCATTTGACGGAATTTCACCACTTAAATTGTTAAACGAAACATTAAAGTATGTGAGATACTTAAGGGTCTCAAGTGACTTTGGAATGGAGCCAGAGAGAAAGTTACGTGATAGATCCAACTTTGCCAAACTTAACATACTACCAATTGACTCTGGAATGGAACCTTGCAGTTGGTTGTGGGCTAAGGAAAGTTTATTCAGGTTCTGCATATCCCCAATTGTGGTAGGAATGCCACCCGAGAAGTGATTTATTGACATGTCTATGGCTGTTGCAATTTTCAAGTTTGCAACGTCAAGAGGTAGAGGGCCAGTTAATGAATTGGAGGAGAGGTCGAGCGCTAAAAGATCTTTAAGGTTCCACAAGCTTTTAGGTGCAAAGTTGAATTTATTGGAAGCTAGGTAAAGATATCTCAGAGAAGTAACATTTCCTATGCACTCTGGTATTGATCCCACAATTTGATTGAAGCTGAGAGATATAACACCCAAATTGTTGAAGGAGCAGAAGTATTCTAGGCTGACTTGGCTTAGTTTGTTGATGTGAAGCATTATTGCTTGAAGCTTTAGCAAACCCGTTACCGTAATGGGCAATGATCCAGTCAACTGATTATTGTATAGACTTAAGATAATCAAATTGCTCAAATTCCCAATTCTATCAGGAATGCGATCCCTGAGTCCACAACCGTAGGCATACATTGTTTGTAGTGAGGCAGAAAGGTTCCCAACAGAATCTGGAAGAATACCATTTAGTGGATTGTTACTCACACTTAATTTTCTCAAGTTCTTGGAGTTTGCTAAGGAAGAGACGAAGCTCAACTCTGGATAGGAAGAGTCACAGACTAAATTGTTGTTTGTTAAGTCCAGCACTTGAAGGAGCCTTAGATTACCAATGGAAATGGGAATCGGCCCTGTGAATTTATTGTCAGACAATATTATGAAATAAAGTCTAGAAGAATTTGAGATGGACTCGGGAATATCTCCAACAAAGTTATTATTGTTCAAATAAAGTTCTTCTAAATTGGGAAGCCCATAAAACACTGTTGAAGGAAGAATGCCTGAAAGTTTATTTCCTGCAAGCGACATCAATTTTAGCCTGGAGAGGTTGAAGATCTCCACTGGTATGGAACCACTCACGTTATTCCACCCCAAGTTGAGTTTTTCCAGATTGTGTAAGTTGCTGATCTCTCTTGGTATTTCGCCTGGCAGAAATGTATGAGCTTATATGTAAATGAACTATCATCCTCATAGTAGACCTAAGGTTCATCAAAATAAGTAATTGGTGTGACTATGAATTGTCTCATGTACCTGTTATGTTGTTATCAGATAAGTCTAAGAACTTGAGCATGGTCAAATTTGCAAGCTCTTTTGGAATTTCACCTACAAAATGCAAAACTTATGGAACATGAAGTCCACATCTTTTGACAAAACTTGGGAAAGGAACATAACAGTTACTAAAAGACAGAAAATAAAAATAAACAAGAGTGTGCAATGGGTATACTGCTAAAATTTAGTAATCAGAGCAATGTGTGAAAGCTATAATTACTATATAGAAAAAACATGTTAGCAATCTAACTCCTACAAACTCAGGAGTAATAAACACTACTCCTTTGACTCAAGAATCAAGATCTTACCTGTTAAACTGTTCATGGCGAAATATATCACCTCAAGCTTCTTCAGGTTCCCTATTTCTTTTGGTGTGTTTCCAGTGAATTTGTTGAAGGAAAAAGACAGAGCCTGAAGTTCTGAACATTGAGCTAAATTTGATGGTATTTGACCACTGAATTTATTCATTGATAGGCCAATGAATCTCAGTCTCGGAAGATGGAAACACATGTAATCCGGAAGACTTCCAGACAAGCTGTTAACTCCCAAGGAAATCATTTCCAGTGAGGAAATGTTGAAGATCTCTTCCGGGATTTTGCCTTCAAGAGAGTTGTTAACAAGGATTAAAGTTGCTAGCTTTCACATGTTGGAGATGGAAGGCGGGATAAGACCGGTGAAGCTGTTGTTTCTGAGAGAGAGAAATTCGAGTCCTTGAAATGATCCAAACCAGTTAGGAAGCAATCCATTGAGGTTGTTGACGGCCAAATTCAGTACTTTTAATCGATTCAATCGAGCAAGTTCTGGTTGCAGTTCTCCACGGAAATTGTTCCTACTCATGTTAAGAGAAACGAGAAATGACAGGTTTCCCAACTGGGGAGGTAAGGTTCCACTAAGACCCATGTTTGAAATGTTCAAAGCAGTCACTCTACGATGGCCAGAGCTGCAGGTAACCCCAATCCAGTCACAAACAGGCGAGGCAACAGACCAGTTTTTTGCCAAGATTTCTTGAGGGTCAAATGAAATTTGAGCTCTCAACGCAAGAAGAGATGATTGATCAGTGGCGATGTTGGTTGAGGTCAAGGCTAAGCAACCTGGAAGAAAACACAAGAAGAGAAGTAGAATTGTTCCCATGGTTGTGTGCAAGTTGCGAGCGGGGAAGGACGGTATAATTCAATGGCCAAAGTAAAAGGGATTTCTACCAATTTTTTTTTATTTCATTGAAGTTCCCTTGGAGCATATTACTCGATAGAGATGACGAGTGATGCAATTAGCTATGTTGTATAAATATTGATTGTCGCATGTTGAGTAATACAATAAAGTAAGGTAAGGATGAGTGTGAGCATTTGCTATCTGATACTTGTTCAAATAATTAACTCAGCAAGAAATGATATTTGACTTTATCATATCTCTTGGTTCTTTATTTGTGAACTGGGGCCATATTCTACAACAATTGAAACTTGTAAGTTCTGAGTTGAGCATTCTTGGACATTACCTGTTTTTTTTTTTTTTTTTTTAATCATAAGGGAAATATCAGTAGTCAGTAGTCACTTTCTCATTGTTGCCCTGCCCTGAACAGGCTCTACTTAGGCAAGCAGATACATTGTCGTCCCGGATAATTACACTTTACTCCCTTATGATTTAGTATTTTTCACATAACTCCCATATAGTTTCAAAAGTTATATATAACCTTCTTATGATTTGGATTAAAGTGTTAAAATGACGAAAATGATCATTCGTAATGGAATCACCTATAATGTCAAAAATAACTTTATGTAAAGTTGAAAATTATTTATTAACTAAGGGGAGTTATGCGTATCTTTTGAAAATCATAAAAGGATTATATGGTAAAACATAAAATCATACAGGGTTAGTGGTCATGTATTTATAAGGGTAATTTTGATATTTTTAAACGTTCCATTATGAATGATCATTTCCATCACTATGACACTTTAATCCAAACCATGAGGGGGTTATGTATAGTTTTTGAAACGATAGAGAGGTTATATAAAAAAACTAAACCATAGGGGGTAAAGTGTAATTTGCCCTAAAAACAATAATGTTAGTAATTATATACTACTTACAGTGATTGACAAAATCAAGAAAAGAATCCATGAATACATGATTTTGCATTTATTGACAGCTACATGTGGTAATCATGCAACTTCTGGTCATTTTTCAGACGTGAAAAAATTATTGTCTTTTTTAGATAGTTCTCATTTTGAAGCTGTTCTTAAGAAACAGAAGAAGATGCATTTACGAGAGACAACATATTACAGGAGTATTAGTATCTTTTCTGCAGCTGCAAACTCACAAGCAAGACATTAATTAGCTTTACAAGTAATTGTGGAGGGATTTCTCCTTAGAAATTTTAGTGCTTGCATTATTTAGATTCTGTAATTCTCTGCTCCAAAAGAAAAGAAAGAAAAAAATTATTCTGTTGTTCTTTGCCCCGCAGAAAAAATATGAGCATGACTTAAGCTTTTTTTTTTTTCCCATATTTTAAACCATTTTAGTAAAAGCATGGGAAAGTATGCCTAAATAATCATTTCTTACTTAACAAGATTGAACTTTCATAGTTTATAATAGCTACTAATAAACAAATTAAAAGCGTATAATATATGGGAAGTATTTATTTAAACTGCTTCAGAGCACTGAACTTTCCCATTCTATTTATGTGTAAGGGTCACAAGCTCCAAAGCAACACAAAGTAGATGTCATTAAGTTTTTATGTGATTTTTTTTCTACATACAATCCAAATTACAAGAGGGAACAGGAAGGCCTAAATTAGTCAATAGGAATCTTGCAAGAAAAAGAATTTTAACTTGTAAAAATGATAAAAAAATATAACTAATAAAGTCATTAATTCTCAAGTTTGGGAGAAGGTAAGGACCGAATATCAAATTTGGTGGGGTAAAAACTTATTAAAAAAGTTCTTAGAGTAAAAATTCATAATATATAAAACTTTGGAAAGTCTTAGGAGGGCACAAAAAAAAAAAAAATGGTGTGACAGTGCTTTGGCATATGAGTGTAACACTTCTCAACTAAGCAGAAAAAAATGATAATACTAATGCTTTTTTGTTTTACATGAGATCTTTACATTTGTTTTCTTCTTCTATTTATGTATTTATTTCTATATTTTTCCAAAGCTGGAGAACATCTTTAATTGGTGGTGATAAAATACGATGATTATTGCATTAAATCTATTTCCTTTCAATGAGTTATGATCCTTAACATTAGATATTAGAATGACTAACCAAATAACACTTTTCAAGATTTTGGTTGAATATCTAATGAGCTATTTTTTTTGCTCCTAAATTGCAACTTCGCCTTTGCGTATCAAAACTTTTTTTGCATACAATATCCCATTACACTAATGTCTGTCTGTTAATGAGTTGGCATGTATAGAGTGAATTGCAAGTATCATCAACTACTTAGTCGCAATTGGCCAGATAAAAAACATATCTCAGCTCTTATTGAACTGGAGATTCAATACCAATATCGCACTTTTTTTTTAAAAAAAATTTTCTAAGTAAAACAATACCTCAATTAGGGAATTTTAAAAGCAAAAATTGTTTTTCAATAGTATTATAAATCTACTAATATTTTCTTAACAACATCTATATCGATCTTCTTTTCATATTTAATTCTCTTTTCCATTTTTTAGTGTGTTAGAAGTATTAAAGTTTGAGTAAATCTTATATACACTGACTGTATATACACTATCATCGTTGAATCTATGACATATCTACAAAATTTGAATTTTAAATTCAAATTTTACATATTTGTCATTTATCCAACGCTTATAGGAAAGATTAATCCTTAAAGTTTGACAAGTCATCTATTTCACTTGCATACAGTGGATTAAACTTAAGTGTGAATGTCATGCGGACAAACTTTTGACTTCGAGCATGGGTGGTGTTGTAATTTCACACGTCATACAAACTTAATTGCATAAGATGTTAGAATTATGAAAAACTATATTTTTCACTATGATTTTCATCTAATTGAAGAAAATATTTTTGATGCATTCGAAGTATTAAAGTTTCACAAGTCATCTGTTTCACTTGCACACAATGGATTAAACAAAATTGCGAACGTCATGTAGACAAACTTTTGACTTCGAATGTCGGTGGTGTTGTAATTTCACACGTCATACAAATTTAATTGCATAAGACGTTATTTTTCACTATGATTTTCGTCTAATTGAAGAAAATAAACAATTAAAATTTTCTATTACTTATCTTACAACAGTACTCACACTAATCTCAAAGTAATCACTTTGCTCAGAGGAAAAAAAAAAGGAATACAACAGGAAATAGCTCTACCTTATCTTACAATTTTCTTTCAAAATTATCTTACCATAAAAATTTTGCCTCAAATCATTCCTGAGGCAAATAATGCCTTATTTAACTTCAAGTAAAGTATTAGTGGTATAGTAACTTCTAATGAAATTATTATGTGTCATTGATTTAATTTAAGAAACTTGAATGTGATAGATCACACCAAATTACTATCCGAATCAAAAAAGAAAAACAAAAAAAGGAAAGGACCACTACTATTAGTTAGTTGAAAAGTGATCAATAGCGTCACTGTAGCCGTCAAATACTTGTCGTCTAGCACATTCACTGCTCAACTGCGAGTTTGCATTCACTCGTAAATCTTCTATAATTTCTCCTCTCCTTTCTCTTCTGCTCTTATTCTACCTACTCAATCATCTATTGTACGGACTCAGAAATCACTCCCCTCAAAATTTTTCTAGTACTAAGGTACTTGTGTCCCCGTAAATTCTTATCTCATTTCATTCCTTTTTTTTTTTTCCCTGCAGCTATTCTTTCTGTAATGGCAATGAAGCGCAACCGAGTTGACACCACAGAAGAGTTGACAGCATCGTTTGCAACCAAGCAACAGCAACAGAAACAGCCAACAGAGGATCAAACTAGGGTAATGAGATTTTTTTTTTCTCTTCGGCCTATTTGGCAAATAAGTTTTTGCCGAAGTTTGTCTCATATCAACTTTTTAATAATTTTAACTACAGTAATTTTAAAAATTTTTAACCTACACACTTTAAAAGACCCGAAACACACAAAAAAATTTCCCTTCCTCCTTTCTTTTTCCACCTCAAGCCACCACCACCTACGATGCCGGTCAAGACCGGCCACCGTTGGTTCCGGCACCGGCAACCTCTTCCAGCGCCGGCCATCTCTTTTTTTTTTTTTCTCCCTCTCCCTCTCCTCCCCTCCCCTTCCCTCTCCCCCCTCCTCCCCTCTCCCCCGCCACCTCTCTCCCCGCTCTCCCTCCGCTGCCACCCTCCCCCTCCCCCTCTGCCTGATTTGGTCTCGCAGACGCGAGACGGGGAGGGGGAAGGGGAGGAGAGGGGGAGAGGGAGAGGGAGAGGGAGAAGAGGGGGAGAGAAAAAGCAAAAAAAGAAAAAATTTTCCATGTTTGCTGCTAGTTCTTCTAGCGTCAGAGGGAGAGGGGGAGGGGGAAGGGAGAAGAAGAAGAGAGGAAAGAAAAGAAAAAAGAAAGAAAGAAAAAGAAAAAGAAAGAGAAAGAGAAAAATAAAAGAAAAAAAGTTTTCCATTTAAAATTTTTTTTCTACAATTTCTACAGTAAGTTACAGTAAAATTTTAGACAAATACCTAAAAAACTCATTTGCCAAACATAGTAGAATCAATCATTTAGCTTTCTATTGTTTCTTTTCTTTTTTGTTAAATTATTATGTTTAGGTGAAAGCCAAGGAGAGTGATCCACCAAAACTTGGTCATTTTTTGGACAACTGCCACAATTGCAAGAAGCATATGCCAGTGGGTGTTAAAGTCCACATGTATAGGTAATCTTGACTACCATTACCAGTACTTTCTTGTTAATCATCTTAAACATCTAATAACTTTCATGTTAATTGGCATAACATTTGTTATTGAATTTCAGAATGCATGTTTTACTCATGACTGGTTATAGTTATAATGTGTCAAGTCTGCTGTTTGACGTTCAACATATAATTTCTTTTTTCTGCAGTAATATGTGATTTCACTTTTATAGAGCAGTTTCGTTGGCTGATAACCTTAATTTCATATTTTCTTAATTGCATTAATAGATTTGTTATTCTTGTTTCAGAGTTGATTTCTAGTAAAATATGATTTCTTCTCTCTTAGTTGTATGTCTCTGTCTCTCTCCATCCAATTAAAATTATTTCAACCCTTCACTCCTGATCTATTATTTTCAGGGCATTTGTTTGATTTATGTTTGCTACGATATTGACCAATGTTTTCTAATATATTCTCGGGATGTTTAAAAACAAATGAGTGAAGCATTTATAGGAAAAGGTTCAAAAACTTGAAATTGTTTCTTTGTTTTCCTATTGTCTTCTTTGGGAAGAGGTATGGGATAGGAGAGGCGGAAGTTTTTATTTTTGCCAACCTATAATACATTCACAATTTAGACTATTAATAATGTAATAATAAATTTGAGGTTGTTTATATAAGGATAATTTGTACTTTTGTTATCTTGAATATAATGTTGATAATGTGGTGTAGAGACTTCTGCGGGTTCTGCTCTGTTGGATGCCGTGAGATACAAATGGCACTTGATAACCTGGCAGAAAAACAAGCAAAGCTGGCGCAAAAACAATTACCAAGCTGCAGCGATTAAGTGGATCAGTGAAGCTAAAAGTTGATATGAAAAGTCAGTACAGAACAAATGATGTTGAATCTACTTTGAGATCTTAAGGATATCAGTTTCCTTGCTGAGTGTAGAAGTGCAAAATTGTTAAGTTTTTCTAATGATCTTGGGCTAATGTACGATGTGTATCATTTAGTATAACTTTCTATGACCAGATTGATGTGAATGTTGGCAGTTTGTATATAATTGCTTTACTTTTGAATGTGCAAAGTAACTTGCCTTGAAAATATTTAACTAGTATAGTCAGTCTTTTGGGGGGGAAAATAGGGGGTTCTCAATGGGAATGCTCATTAATGATAGTTATTATCAGTGTTTGATACACTACTATGACAACCAATCTATGATAATGGAAGACTTAATAGTGTGTATTCCCCATTCCTGATCAAATTGGACACTTTTGCTTCACTATCACCAAAAAAAAAAAAAAATCCAAAATAATATCTTTTCTTTTTCTTTTCTCTCTTGTCTCTCCATTCTCCCACCTCTCTTCTCTCTCACCTCTCATCAGTTGTCTCTCTCTTGTTCCTCCATCTTTCATGCAAAACTTTCAAACCCAATCTCATAGTCCAAAGCTCCTCTTGTCAAATACTCCAGAAGACTAGTTTACTCCTTATATAAAAAATTCAATAGCCAGGAACATGTTGAGCAAAAAATTGCTTTGAAAACTGAAACTTTCAATTTCTCTTCGTTTTTCTTTAACTGTTTATGGACTTCCAAGCACACGACTGCAGTGGTAAGCCTATAGTTTTCAGAATTATCTAAGCTTGTCAATAATTTGTTTCTTTTGGGTTTAGGGTTCTGTGTTTTTCTTTGGCTTTTTGTTGTTTTGATATAATTCTATTGTCCTTTATTTTGGCTTGGATTTTTTTTATTGGAGGTTGGGTTTTCTAATATGTGTTGAAATTTAAATTGGGATTTTGGGTGTGTTGGGTTCTTCATAGATTATTTGCAGAGGGGATGCCGAGACATTGAGAAAGAAGAAAACGTGGTGAAAGGAAAAAGAAAAGAAAAGAAATATTAGTGGGAAAAAAGAAGAAAAACCAAAATAAATTCTCATTGAAGAGACAAATCAAACAAGTGAAAAGGAATACCAAAAACCCGTTGTCATTGAGGAGGCTTTTGATAGTGATTATCATTATCATTCCCGAGTAAGAACCAAATAGGTGGTAAAAATATTAGAGCATCGACCCGTAATCATAAATTTGCTAGAAACTTTTTTTTTTTTCTACGAAACCTATATTCAAATGCCATCTGTGCTTTATTTTGGTAATTTGGAATTATTTATTTTATTTCAGTAACATATTTGGCAATATCCAGAGTTTTAGATAGGGTTTTCGAGTGTAGATTAGTGAAATATAGTGTGATGTATAATCACAGAAGTGGTTGATATCCTAATCATGTGTTTCCAAGGTTATATATTCTTAATCTCTAATTAACAAGATTACGAACCATTTGCCATACAAGAAATTATCTAATATTCTAATACTATTTTTTATGATACATGAATGGGATCCCATTCTACATAAAATCCATCTTTGATGGATTTAATTTTATAGCAGCATAAGTTATAAGTTATTAATTTTCTTTTTCTAAGTTATAAGTTATTACACTATTTGTAAGTAGTTTAGTATAGAGTGCATTAATTAGTTGGTATATAACAAATATAGTATATTATTAACAGATAAATATCATTTCTTAACTAGGATATTCAATTTGGTGTGATTGCCGTTGGCAGGTGGGAGGAGAGGGAGGGAGGGTAAAAATGAAATACCAAAACAAATTTTTTGGTAAAAATTTTATATTTGTAAATAAAATTTTTGTAATTTTCAGGAGAAAAATGTCAAATGTATGAAAATAATGGCTCCTGAATTTCATATTCTAAAATTTGGGGAGTCAGGTACATAATAGGAAAATAATTTCTTAAGGTTAAATTAGTATTGAGATGATGATAAATTTCCACAATAAAGATAACCCAAATAACAAATAAATAGGCACTTCCATACTCTGGTTTGTGTTTTTTTCTTCTTTGTTTATTTTTTTAGTTATGTAAATTCTGCATGAGGTAATCTTTTGCGATTAATTCGTCACTAGAATTAAATATATTGACTAAGCCAAAATAAAATGAAAATATTCATAACAATATATTAGAACACAATATGCTTAAATAGAATTTTCTAAAAGAGATATTTTATCATTTTTTTTGTTAATAAACTAGTAAGCAATTGTATCCACATTCCACACCACTAAATTGGAGAAATTTGACTACTTTATAAATTGGATCAAACTAAATGTACTTGGGGAAAAATGAAATTGGCCACAAGATCAATTAAAACCAAATTCAGAAATTTATCTTAACAGACACTTCTAAAGGTTAAGAGACCAAATTGGATCATTGATAATTCTAAGGGTATTGGAGTCATTTACCCTTCTTTTGAAGTAATAGATAAATTCCTTTCTGGTCCATTATTCTCTTTCATACTTTGGTTAATGCTGAGTGATTTTCAGGACTAGCAAACGGCACCCTTAAATAAGGATATACCATGACATTTCCTAAAAGCTATTTATTTGCAAAACTGAAAATTACAATTACAAAAAGGAAAAAGAACTTTAAAATGTTCAGAGTTTCTGATGACTTTTAAGCTTATTTCTTTATTTTTTTGTCGCTCCAAGGAAATCCCTTAAATTTTCTCTATCTAGAAAGTGAAATAATTGATGTCAATTTTCAGTTTCTATTTTTGGCAGGACATTCATTTCAGCCATAAAATTAGCTGCATCAATTATCGAGTTATAGCCTCGTAAGTGATAATTTCATTCATTTCTTTGCATTATTTTTTGTGTTCTTCGTTAACGAATAATAATGCACCCTGCGAACTCCAAAACTCCAATTGGAAGTTGATAAGTAACACGAATGACGAAAATGTGGGAAAACAAGTAGCTAAAGTCTAATGATATAATTTTCACATTCCAAGGATTACTAATTACCATTTTCCATTTCTAAAGTCAGACGTAGCATCTTTCACAATTGTTAAGGCGCTTTTCTCCCATGTTTTTGCTACTTCTTTCCTAATATTAATGGACATTTTCCAAAACTCTTGCTTGCTGTAAGAGTCATATGTACATGGATCTAGGTTATACCAGGACACACAAGTCCAATCCAATATAAGGGTACAAATTCAAGGATTTCTGCTCAAAGTACAGGGCACATTTGTGAATTACTTCTCCTTTCCTCAATTATAGCTTCAAATTTTTGAAGAGAATCATAAATTGCCTTCCATTTTCCAGAATGTTTTGTTCATTGAATCATAGTGTTCAGTTACAAAGATATGATGTTTTGACAAAACCTTAAAACTGATGCTGCTGTTTTCCTTTTTCTTGTGTTATTAGGCACGCGCGTTTAAGATTTACTACTGATTTTTTTGTTTGGCTTTATTGGACCTCATTAAACTAGTAATTTAGTCCACGCATAAAACTATGATAAGTAAGCATGTTTTAATAGGGTAAATTTTATATATACTAATGATGTATATATTATCACTGTTAGATTCATGACACATATATAAAAATTAGATTTCAAATTCAAATTTTATATAGTTGTCATTCATTCAAAACTGACAGTATATACACTATCAGTGTAGGAAGGATTAATCCGTTTTAATATATTTATGAGATAATGGAGTTGACATGGATGTTAGCTCACATCCTTCGAGGTAAGTTGCTTAATGTGCCCTCTATGTTTAAAAAATGCATTTTATTAGATTTGTTGCTTCAAAAGCTTTTTGAAAATCCATCATTAATAGGTGTACTTTGTGTTTCTTAGCTATATGAAGATAATGTTGGTCGTATATGAAAGTTTCTGAAATGCAATTGCAATTGTACACTTATGTAAGCTCTTGATTCCCAACTTATTATGATATGATCTCTATGCCTAGCGGGGGATTAGTTAGGAACGTTTGGCCTACTTTACTTGATGAACAGTCACAATTAGATATTCAGGTTGTGAATAAAAAGTTAAGAAAGACTAAAACTTATGAATGATATGAACGTTTGATAAATCTAAATATGGCTTCTTCTTTTTTTTTTTTTTTATCAATCTAAATGAGACTTTGATGCATGATTTGATTTGTTGACCACATATTTTGAATTCTGACTATGGCTTGATACAAGTCTAATATTTCATGAAATGCATTATCTATACTAACATGTCCAAACTGATAAAGGAGTAGATGAACTACTTATTGAACAAAATGTTGTTTATACCTCGTTGTCAGTAATTTAATAAGTCTGAAAATTTTCTTGAAAGACTTTGGTGTCAAGATAGGAAGAACATGCTGCATTTATGATGGCCAGCCCTTAAAGTTGGTACGATTTGATCCTAGTTGCAGCAAACCATATATGATTTTACTCCCAAAGCCATAAATATCACCAAAAAAATCAGTAGCGTACAATCTAAACTGAAGCTTAAATATTACACATATTGCACAAGCTGAATTTTGATCTTTTTCAGTGCCACAAGAGCATCTCGAATATTGCTTCTCTCAGCCGGAGACTTCTTCGTGCAATTTAGAGCCAATTTCATGATGGAAGAAATGCACTCCAGCTTCTCAAGATAGTGACGATCAGTTGTGCTTACCAAATTGGCATCTACAATACGAGCTAATGTATTAGCCATAGAATCCACAACCCAACTCCTGAGGCTCAAAGTCTCACCAAACATCTCATTGTTGGGGTTCATTCTTGTAAACACTTCCATCATCATGATTCCAAAACTATAAACATCGCATTTGGGGGATACTATTCCTTCGGATCCATACTCTACAAGAATGGCAAGTACTTTTCACCATATGTTATTTAAAGTAAATGAGCTTTTGAAATTCTGGAATTTCAAAAAATTGTGTTGGGGGGGGGGGACCAGAACAGAAATCATACCTGGTGCAAGATAGCAAAATGTGGCTAGTGTTTTGGTGTATACAATGCTTTCCTCTGGAGCCAACAGCTTTGCAAGGCCGAAATCGCTTACATGGGCAACCATATCTTCATCTAGCAGGACATTACTAGGCTTCAAATCACAGTGCACTACTGGTGTTGCACACTCGTAGTGGAGATACTGCAGTGCAGAAGCAACATCCACCAAGATGTCCAATCTCTTGATAATATCTAGAGATGAGTCACTGGAATACAACCACTTCTCAAGATTTCCATTAGGCATGAATTCAAGAACCAATGCTTTGAAGTCAGGGTTAGAGCAGCTGCTAATGACTTTTGTGAGGTTTCGATGGCGAAGATTGCGCAATGCTTCACATTCTGCTCCAAAACTCATCAATGCTCCTTCTGATTGTAAATCAAACACCTTAACAGCCACAACCCTCCCATCATCAAGGGTACCTTTGTAAACAGATCCAAAGCTTCCTTTTCCCAAAAAGTTCCTTTCATCGTAATTATCGGTTGCCTGTGAAAGTTTGTAGAAGGAAATTCTTTCTTGTGTAAACATATCTGCTTCTATGGGACTTTTACCTTTCCTTCGATATCTTAGGTAAACAAATCCCAGGGACATGGCACCTAAAACTGCTATCACCCCTGCTGTAGTAAAAATGATTACAAACTTCTTTTTGTTTCCCGATGTTTTAGCTGAAAAACTTACACATGGTGGGACGTGTAAACCTTGGAGCTCCACAAAGTGCTTTATTTGAATTAAAGGATTCACTAGTGAAGTTTGCAAAAGGGCCATTCGGAGGAATTTCGCCACTTAAATTGTTAAAAGAGACATTGAAGCTTGTAAGATACTTAAGATTCTCAAGTGATTTTGGAATGGAACCAGAGAAAAAGTTATGTGATAGATCCACAGTTTCCAAACTTAAGATACTACCAATTGACTTCGGTATTGAACCTTCCAGTTGGTTGTGTGCCAAAGAAAGATGATCCAGGCTCTGCATATCTCCTATTGTGCTTGGTATGCCACCTGATAAGTTATTCAGTGATAAAATCAAGCTTGTTGCAGCCTTCAAGTTCTGCATTTCTAGAGGTAGAGAGCCAGTTAGTGAATTTGAGGAAAGATCGAGCAACAAGAGATCTGTAAGGTTCCACAAAGTTCTAGGAATACTAGACTTCAATCTGTTGGAATTTAGGTAAAGATATCTCAGAGAAGTAACATTTTCTAAGCAACCTGGGACTGCTCCTGAAATTTGATTTTGGCCCAGAATTACTGCACCCAACTTTGTGAAAGTACAGAAGTAATCCAGGCTGACTTGGTTTAGTTTGTTCATGTAAAGAACTATCGCTTGAAGATTTTGCAGACGTTGTATTGTAATGGGCAACGGTCCAGTCAACTGATTAACGTACAGGCTTAAGATAAACAAACTGCTCAAATTTCCAATTCCATCAGGAACTTTTCCCTGGAGATTGCACCTGTATGCATAAAGTCTTTCAAGGGAGCTAGAAAGGTTCCCAACTGATTCCGGAAGAATGCCATTCAGTGGATTGCCATTCACAGCTAATGTTCTCAGATTCTTGGAATTTGCCAAGGAAGAGATGAAGCTAGTCTCTGGATGCGAAAAGTCAGTGACTAACTTATTGCTTCCTAGATCCAGCACTTGGAGGTGTCTTAGGTTACCGAGGGAAATGGGAATATGGCCTGTGAAGAAGTTGTCAGACACGGTTACAAGAAGAAGTTTAGAAGAATTTGTAATTGACTCGGGTAGGTCTCCAACAATGTGGTTAGAGTTGAGATAAAGTTGTTCTAAATTTGGAAGCCCATAAAACACTGTTGATGGAAGATTTCCTGAAAGCTGATTTCCTGCGAGTGACATCAATGTTACCCTGGAGAGGTTGAAGATCTCTACTGGTATGGAACCAGTCAAGTTATTCCACCCTAAGCTGAGTGTTTCCAGATTGTATAAATTGCCGATCTCTCGCGGTATTACGCCTGCCAATAATGTAATAAGCATGTGCATGAATGACCCTTGTTCTTCGAATTAGACCGCAAGATCGTCTTAGTCAGTAATCTATGTGTAATTAGCTATTGTTGTACCTGTTAGGTGGTTATCAGCTAAGTCCAAGAATTTGAGCATGGTTGAATTTCCAAGCTCTTTTGGAATTTCACCTGCAAAATGTAAAAATTATAAACTTGAAGATCCGCGTTACATCTTTGATGGTAGTTGGAAAGGGATATATCTTTTTTGAGAGACCAAAAAAAAATAAAATGGTGTCAATGGTCTGGTCAGGAGTTCAAAATTTTAGTTTTATATTAGGGCAAATTACACTTTACCCCTATGGTTTAGTGTTGTTTTGCATAACCCCTATAGTTTCAAAAGCTATGGATAACCTCCTCTTGGTTTAAATTAAAGTATCATAGTAACGGAATTTGCATTCCATAACGGAATCAACTAAAATATCAAAAATACCCCTATATAAAGTTGAAAATTATTGATTAATCATAGAGGGGTTATACATATATTTTGAAAATATAAGGGGGTTATATGGTTATAAAGCACTAAACCATAAAGGCTTATATGATAAAACATAAAATCATATGGGGTTAGAGTATCATACATATTATGTTTATATATTTTAGTCACTTCACCCATTTCAGTTTTTAAACAAAAGATAATTTCGACATTTTCCTAGATTTCATTACGAAAATTAAATTATTTTTGTTATTTTGATACTTTACTCCAAACTATGAGGGCTATAGAGAGATTATGTGAAAATAAGCTACACCACAAGGGTAAAGTGTATTTTGCCCTTCTTATTATGGTAATAGATGCAACCAGTGAAAGCTATAACGACTATGCATGAACAAGACATGGAATCAACCATCAAACTCTCCTAGCAACTGAGGTGCAATTAACCATCTAAATTTTGAAGAAGTAGAAGGATGACAAGTCATCTAACTCTACTTGCTCCATAGACCTATAAATTAATATCTTACCTACTAATTTGTTCATGGAGAAGTATATCACCTCAAGTTTCTTCAGCTTCCCAATTTCTTTTGGTATGGTTCCACTAAACTTGTTGAACGAAAAGGATACAGCCTGAAGTTCTGAACACTGGACTAAGCTTGATGGTATTGGACCACTCAATTCATTCTTTGATAGGCGAATGACTCTTAGTCTCGGAAGATTGCCACACATATAAATTGGAAGACTTCCAGATAAGCGATTACCTCCCAACGAAATCATTTCCAGTGAAGAAATGTTGAAGATCTCTTCCGGAATGTTACCTTCAAGAGAGTTGTTTGAAAGGTATAAACTTCTCAGATCTGACATGTTAGAAATGGAAGGCGGGATTAGGCCAGTGAAACTGTTGTTTCTTAGGGACAAGTATTGAAGTTTGGGAAATGAACTACTCCACTCAGGAATTTCTCCGGTAAGATCGTTCAAACCCAAATCAAGTACTTTTAATCGGTGCAACCAAGCAAGTTCATTCGGCAATTCTCCATGGAAATTGTTCATGCTCATGTTAAGAGAAATGAGAAATGACAGGTTTCCCAACTGTGACGGTAAGATGCCGGTAAGCCCCATGTTCGAAATGTCTAAGGCAGTCACTCTACAATGATGAAAGCCACAGGTAACTCCAATCCAGTCACAAACAGAAGATGAAACAGACCAGTTTTTGGCCAAGATTTGTTGAGGGTCAACTGAAATGTGAGCTCTCAAGGCAAGAAGAGACGATTGATCAGTTGTGATGTTGTTTGATGCCATGGCTAAGCTATCTGATAGAAAGCATGACAAGAGAAGTCCAAGAAGGAAATTACAGTGAATTCTCCCCATGACTCTGTGCAATCTAAGAGCAGGGGAAGTGAAGGATACTGTCATAGTAGTAACTAGTACTAATGCCATGGCTTCAGCCCATTATTTTATTGAGATTCATTGAACTGTATTATTTGATTGAGATGACAGTTGGCAAATCATGTAATTAAATGCGTTGTAACGTAGAATTCAAATAATTCAGCAAGAGGGAGTCTGATATTTTTAGGTTTGTGTTATTAGCAATTTTACTCAAAAGGTCAATAATACGACTAATCAAAAATTAACTATTCCATCAACTCTTGTGAGTCGCACTAAATATTTCTCCATCAACTCTGATATATTTTCCCATTTGAGTTTTTCTAATAAGCGTCGACTCAATGAACATTCGTTAACACACATTAATTACACCCACGCTATCATGTGAATATACATACTAATAATTATTGTTTTCCTTTACATTTATATACTTTTTCTAATTAAGTGTACATTTTCAAAAATTTAGCACCTGAACTATATTTTAATGAGTGTTAATTAGACAAATCCCTCTTCATTTTCCCCTCTTTTTGCACACTCCTACTTTCCAGCTAAGGGGTTCTGTTCTTGATTTTTTCATCCCCGTAGGTTTTGACAACATTTTCCCCCAAGATTTCTCATAGTATCACTCAACTCCCCTGAGATTTATAAAATCTCGTTTACCTCCCTTGGATCAATATTTCGTGTAACATTTTAACCCCTTTGGATGAAATACAATAAACATAAAACTTTTGTTCCAATACTACCCTTATGTTATCTTGCTTATGAAATTTATAACAACAATGAAAAGTAAAATAAGGTTAAATTTTTATAAGGCACAAATTTCTTGACGGAAACTATTTATTTTAGTTGTATTGAAACAAAAATAAAATTTACACCTTGAAAAATTAGCACATATGAAGAGAATATTTTAGTTTTCAATACAACTTAAACTACACCATGAATTAAACATATTTTCCCAAAATATATCTTGACTTCCTTAATTGTAACTTAACTATGCACGAAATTTTTTAAGGTATTAATTACTCACCAAAATCCTCCTAAGTGGTTGACCTTGATTAAATTTAATTTATCAACGTCCTTTGCTATTCCACAATAATCACAATACAAAGAAATATGGACCATTATTAGTTAGCAATTTACTTTTTAAATCTACATTTTTTGGTTTTAAAATTTTATTTTTTTTGGCTTTGTGGTTAAATAGTTATTAAGAGCAAGGGCAATGTTGTCAATTTGTGACATTTAATAGGAATATTTAGTCTTGTTAAGTTGGCAAAAGAGGTAAGTGAGATTTTAAAAACTTCAAGAGAGTTGAGTGATATTATGACAAACCTCAGTGGAGGTTTCTGAAATTATCCTTTATATATATTAGATGGCGGCTTATCTGTTGGAATAGTCATTTCCAAGCTTCAAAGACTTGTTTTCATTTTTGTGCTTTTGCTGTAAATATTGTCTTACAGTTCCCAGGACCACCTGAAAGTAACACATTTGAAAAAACAAAAATGCACGAGTCAATGTGCTGTGTCCACGATTCATTGTTAATGTGCTGTTATGCTAACAATTATCAAACTAGCTAAGTGCCGAGAGCAATAGAATCTAACTAATGTAGAATTGAAGTTATTAGGAAAACTCCCTCGACAATAACGTGGAGTAATACTTTAGTAGCCTATGAGAAGGATATTACAACTATTATATGCTAAACCATCATTTAAACTTGGGCCCTATTTGGCAAAGTGAGTTTTTGCCAAGTTTGTCTCCTACCAATTTTTTTAAC